TCGAAGTTTCTACTTTCTACTTTTTATCTTGTGCATCCTGCAATCATTTTTGCCATCATGTTGTTTTTTCATGCATCATTTTAAAAATCACCTCTACTCGAAACATTTTAATTTTACAAAGTTTTTAAAAACTCATTCAATCATTTAAAGTTTTGTCAGATTACATCCTGGTGAGCGCTGAATCTGACAACTCAAGGGATCAACAAACGTATTTTTTGCTTGCCACCACTTTTTAAAGAAGTTAATGGCGCTTGTGAACCAAATTGGAGGCAATGATAGTTGATCACGTTCACGTTGAGTGATCCGTCAATAAATTGAAAGAATGGCGATAGTAATGAAGAAAATTTTTTTATATTTCAATAACGAAATAACGAAGACTTTACAATATTGAAATTTTAATTTCACAGTTAAATCTGGATTTGTATTTGATGTTTGAAAATAAACTCATTGAGATATAACGCTTGTTTTCATTGATGTAGTCAACAGAAAAAATATTTCAAAATTCATAAAACAAAATAGAAATTTTTAAACAGTTGCTATTTGATAGCTTTGCAAAAAACTGTATTTCAGTTTTTAACATGCAAATTGGTCGATAAATTTAATTTACGCAGAAATATTCAATTCCAATCCAGTTAATACGCAGGTTGGATTTAATGGAGGTGGAGCTACTGCTTTGAACCTACACAATGAAGGGCCATCCACAAGAAAGATAATGTAACATCAACATAATTTTTCCAAAAAACTAATAATAATAATAATATAAACATTTATGAAGCGCCCATTCGCACAGCTGCTTCAGAGGCGCCCGGAGCCCGTATTAAAAAGATGAGTCTTTAATTTTCCTTTTTGAAAAGACTCAACGAGGAACATTGTCTTAATTCAGGAGGTAAGGCATTCCATACACACGGAGCAGCGTGACGAAAACCGCGGCCAGCCAGGCGGGATCCGGCAACTGGAATGTTTAGGAAACCTGTTGAGCTGCTGCGGAGTGATCTAGTATGTTCATGTCTGGATATGAGGTCGTATAGATATGTTGGGGATTTTAATAAAAGGGTTTTGAAGGTAAGGACTGCAATTTTTAAGATGATTCGAGCGGAAATTGGAAGCCAATGAAGCATTAGAAAGATAATGGAAGAACTAAAACGAGAAGGTTTATTAAATATAAGTCTAGCAGTTTTATTTTGGATAGTCTGTAGTTTTCTGACAAATGCACGTGAGGCCCCATACAATAAGGAGTTGCAGTAGTCTAATCTAGAAAGGATCAAACATCTGTAAAGGACAGCAGCAACATCACATGTAATCATATGTCTGATATGTCTTATTGCGCAGAGGTGATAGATGCAAGATCTGACGATTTCTGATATGTGTTTATTAAAATTTATATGTCTGTCAAAAGTGATCCCAAGCAACTTGATCGAATCCGAGATAGGCAATGTGGACCCTGCTATGTCCATTTCCTCGAGCTGAAACCTCGACAGTTGTTGATGTGTCCCAATGACCATAATTTCAGATTTATTGGGGTTGAGAAGAAGAAAATTATTAGCATACCACCGATAAACCTCGCTAGTACAATTGCTTAAGACTTGAATGCTGCTTTCAAGATCGCCAGAAGTGACAGATGTATGCAAATGAGTGTCATCGGCGTAGTGATGAGAAAATAATTCATTTTTATTAAAAATGTCGCTGACAGGAGACACATAGGTAGTGAACAAGATTGGACCAAGGATGGACGGAACCCTGAGGAACTCCAGTGTCGATCGAGCAGGTAGAGGAAGTATGGTTTCCCAGCTTCACAAACTGCTGTCTGCAGCTCAGGTAAGATCTAATCAGTGATAGTGCATGACCATCCTCCCCAAATTCTTATTGTAGGCGTTCGAGAAGAACCGAGTGACTGATGGTATCAAAGGCTGCGGACAAGTCGAGCCCAACTGCAATGATTACCTTTCGGTTGCCAGCCTCATTAAAAATATCATCAGCAATGTGTAGCAATGCAGTCTCAGTGGAAGGATGAGAACGATAAGCAGATTGAAGATTTGGATAGTTATGATTGGACATTAGGTGGGCACGTAGTCTTAGCAATATGACGCGCTCAAGTAGCTTTGAGAATGTTGATAAGTTTGATATAGGGCGGTAATTTGACGGGTCATCAGGATCCAAGGATGGTTTTTTCAGTAGTGGTAAAACCTGAGCAGTTTTATAAAGTGAAGGAAAGCATCCCATGCTTGTTTTGTTTTGAAAGCGAATAAGCTGTATGAGCAAGCAAAAAAATGGTGGTTGCCATCTTTTTTCAAACCACGTTAACATTACGAATAAAACTTCTTCCGTTCAAGCCTAAACCTTCGTTTGAGGCCGAGTCCAAGATGTCGATTTATACAAAGGCTTCAATCAAATTCTCTTCACAACAGCTTTCCTCAATCCACCTCTATTCTTTCGCCATTTTTATGTATACTACTAGTAAAATTGATAACATCAATAAATTATAAAATCCAATCAGACTTTTTGTAATTGTTGATATAAAATTTAAAATATTCAATTAACAATTACATCAAATTTTTTTATTTAAAAGAAAAAACTGTTTCAAATAAGTATATGTATAATTTATATATTAATAAAAAATTCAAAAGTTTAAAATTTAATAGTCAAATCTAACCGATGCAAAGTGACACTTATTTTGCAAGTACCTTTAAAATTATCAATAAAGACTTGACGAGACCGAATAAGCCAAATGCATAATCTCTATAGGAACAGTTTTATATGTTAAACTTCAAGAAACATAAAAAAATTTCGTTGTATGGAGATTTTCGTTGAGAAGTTTGTTGTAACGAGGTCTGCTTCTTGCGCTTCCTAAAATCTGTTTAAAACTTGTTGTTTGTCAAACTTTGTTGTTCTTTGCTAAAATTTTTGTTGTGCTTTCGTTCGCCCGAAAGTTTGTCAAATTTTGCTTAAAAACGTTCAATTAAAGCCGGAACGAACGCGGATTGTGATTTTTTTGCGACAACGTCTGTAATTTTTGTTGAAATGTCTCTGAATTGCGCAAGTTAGTTTTATTTTTTCATATGTTTGAATAGGCGATAATAAAGATTGCCAATAGCGGGTTTAACTTTGTTTTTAAACTTTAGTTTCCAATGAGGTTCCGGAGCACCCGGTTATCTCTCCAATTAGTGGATGTGTCTTTGAAAGGCGTCTGATTGAAAAGTATGTGAATGAAACTGGGTTGGATCCGGTCAATGGTGAGAAACTAAGCATTGATCAGTTAATCAGCATCAAAGGTTTGTTTTTTTAATAATTAATAATGGTTCGTGAAATTAGCTAAGGATTTCACAGCCAATAATAGAAAAAGTAGTTTATAATCAATTATTATTTTATTTAAACTTGTACTCTTTTCTACCTGTATCTCAATCTGGTTTCAGACCTGCTCACAGTGCTGAAACTTCTTTACTCAAACCTTCTCTCTAGTGATAATACTTACTCTGTGATGATATAGTGATAATATCTTACTCTTCTTTTTGCTCTTGACTTTTCTTCTGCTTTTGATACTGTTTATCATACTATTCTCTTGAGTCTGCTAGATCATTTTTTTAATTGAATATTATATAATATTATTTTAATTTAATACTACTTATTCTTGTCTATCTTAGTTTTTTTCTTATCTCTGTATTTGTTTTTCTTCTGTTCTTAATAAATTTTTTTTTATTATTATTCTTTAAAAATTAGGATCTGACAGATGCAGAAACTGTTACAGCATGCAAAACAGTAGTATAAAATTAAACGAATAAGTAAATAAATGAATAAATAAAACGGAGAAAGAAAAATGTTTAAATATAAAAAGTAAAATAAAATAGAGTAAAGGAGGAGTAAAATGAGATATTTTATTTGAACCTAATCACTCCGGTTTACGGTTGTCTTCTTGTTCTCACTTTTTCTTAACTCGTGTTAAACATTCTTTTGCTAAATCTTCATTCGCTTTTTCTGGTTCTTTTCGCTGGAACTCTCTACCTCCTTCTCTGACTATTTTCTATCACTTACGAAGTTCAGAGCGGATCTCAAGATCTATCTGTTTGCAAAATTCATTGAGGATCACTGTTGAACATCACAAAAATAGCGCTTTATAAGTTAAATGATTGATCGGATAATTTCAATATGAGTGTAAAAAAATTAAACTCAAATAACTTTGATATTGTTATAATACTCGCTGTCGTAACCGATTTACGATGCGACGGGTTCAAATCTTCGATTGAATAAAATACTCCAAACAGTTATTAGTTATTAAACTTTATTTACAGAAGAAATCAACTAATCGTTTATTTCTAGCAAATTCAAATTAACACAACAATTAACTTTTAAATTGTTCAAAATCTATCGCTATGTCAACGTCAACAAACAAATCAAATATCTTTAAAGCTTTAAATAATTCACGGAATCGCTATTCACAAAATCACAGAGTCACGAATTTACAAAATTACGAATTTCACTAATCGCTAATCTTCTTGCGATGTGTGCTTATATACTCTTCGCAAGCGTCGTTTCTAGATTCTTCTAGATGGTCCGATTCTAGCATATTCTAGAGTGTTCTAGTGCGTTCGGTAGCACAGTTATAACATTACCCCCTTCTTAGTTCTGTTCATCCCGAACAGCTTTCATTCCGGTGTCTGCATGGTACGGAGCCAGTCTATCCAAATGAACGATCTTCATTCTTGCTCTCGGCTTCCGATATTCCTGAATACGGTAGACGACGTCATTCAAGCGGGTGATGACTTGATAAGGTCCTTCCCACCCATTTGTGGTCAATAAACCCTGAAACTTCTGCAGGCCCTACATTATTACTATGCCAGTTATTTGAGTTTAATTATTTAACCTTATATTGAACTTCTTCACTGTGAAATTCTTAGCTAACTTATTAATGATTATAATTTTCATGATTGTTTGAAATATTTATTATCTACAATTATGCATGACATAATGCCAGAGCTTAAATTTTATCTTGCTCTATATATCTGGTATCACCCAGATTGTTAATTAATTGATTTATTTATGATTTGTTCTCAAGTTTCTCAGCACTGTACAAGTTGATCATTGAATTAATGCAGCATTTATTTATCTTATTTATTTACATTCTATTTGTTTCACATTTGGAATAAATTTTCTTCACATGACTCGATATATGCATGCATACTAATGCATCGTAATTCATGTTAGAGTGTTTCAGAATTAGCAAAATTTTAACCAACTGCTTGTGACAGATCAGAAATATCTTTATCTTTTGGTGAAAATGTTGTTGAGCTAATTTTAAAAGTGAAAATCATGAAAGTGCAGGCTGTAGACATTTTGCCTCATTCTATAAATTAAATATCTTATTAACGCACATCAAAGTTAATAAGTTGTATATACAAACACTTACCTACATATTTGTACAAAAAATTTAAAATGCTCGTAAAGTTTAATGAATTAATTTAATGAAAATTTTATTTATGCCAGCACCTCCACTGGTGAAGCCGAGACCACCGACTGCCACTAGCATTCCCGCCATTTTAAAAATGTTCCAAGACGAATGGGTTGGATGTTTTGTTTGCTTGCATGCTTTTTGTTAATTATTGTCCCAGTTTTGTCAATTGTGACATTTTTACTAATTGCAGGATGCAGTCATGCTGCACAACTTCACATTAAAGCAGCAACTACAAACAGCAAGACAAGGTGACAACATTTTTGTATGATTTCCAGAGCCATTGAGTTATTTGCAATTCATTACTCTTGAAGATTCTCCTTTTTAATAAGATTTATAAACATGCCAAAACATCATCCTACAGAACTCTCACATTCGTTGTACCAGCACGATGCAGCTTGTCGTGTCATCGCTCGACTCACCAAAGAAGTCACAGCAGCTCGTGAAGCTCTGGCCACTTTGAAGCCTCATACGACAGCTGCAATGATGCCGGTTGCTGGTGGCCAACCACAAATGCAACAAGTACAGGTTGGTAATAATGATGATCTTGTAATGATGAAGATGATGTGGTGATGGTGATGATTAAAATTATTCTTGTTTCATTCCAATTTGATCATTATTTATGGTTGCGTCAATAAATTTAGATATTTTTTTCATTAAATTTATTTGAAACCTGTTCTTACTACCAGGCACCGGCACAGGAGAACAACCAGATGATGGTGGTGGATGAGGCAGTTGAGGTAGCCGAGATCACAGAGGATATCATTCAGAAGGTCGGTGGGTGTTGTGTGGCTGTTGAGGGCCTTCGTTAATCTGGCTTGCTACAACATTACAACTTTATAATGTCACAAGATGATAATCATATTACTGTCTCAACATTCGTGTATCAATGAAATTCACATGGCACTCCTCATTATGTCACTAGAATTCACGTTAATATAATTTCTCATGTTGAGGTGTGATATAGTTAGAAATGACGAATATAATAATCTCTATGCAAATTGGGGCCAACATTTGTACATTATTTATTCACCAATAAATCCAACATTTGTACTGTATAGATAATATATATTTAACATTGTAAGTGGTTGGTTCTGTTCTGTGTAGGCCAGACCTGCAGTAATAAAAACTAAAAAAGAATCATTATTACCACCACCATCATCATATCATATCATGTTGATGTACGTTGTACATTGGCATCACTCAATTAGCTGCAAGACAAGGCAACCCTGTTGACCGCGGAACGTAAGAAGAGGGGCAAGACGATTCCCGAAGGACTGGCCACTCCAGAGGACATTCAGAAGTACAACGTCATCGGCTCCCAAGCTGTTAGTCGCTGCTTTTGTTGTTTGATTCTCTCGTGTTTCAAGTTAGGTTAGGGATTCTTGGTAGGGGTCTTTTATGTGTGCATCAAGTGCTGGGGTTCTTCCTTAGAAGTACACCAAATTTGGTTCCAATGACGTGAAGATGGATGAATTAAGTTCACATTTTTATGGTAAAATGCATGGAGTGAATTATTTTTTAAACTACTTTTCTGGGGAATTAAAACTTATTTCTTAAATCATATAAATTATCAATATTGGTTAATTCAATTTATTGATTGATTGATTAACCAATTGATTTATTGAAATATGAATTGATTGATTGATTAACAATCCATCCAGGGATTGCACAGTGCCAGTATGCCAGGTATCCTTGCATTGGATATCTGCTTGAGAGATTCATCGAAAATTGTCACTGGTTAGTTGTGTTGTGTGGTTGATTGGCTGATCAAGTGGTTATGGATATTTGATTGCTGATTAGTCGACCAAATGGTCGAAATAGAATTGGATCCTCATGTAATAAAATTGTACAGGACAGCACATTTTTAATCACTAACATGTAACACGAGAGTTATAATACACTATGTAATGAAAAATTAAAGATCTTCCTGCAACATGCAAGTCTTAAAACTTACTCATCTAAAAAATTTGAATTGCCGGGAAAACACTGTTGCCATAGTTTGTTATATTCAGAGTAGAGTTGATGCGGCACCCATTCAAGTCCTCGTGAATGCTTTTGAGTTCATTAACAACATTCAACAATCATTAATCCAACTGGTTGATTAATCAGTTGATTTATTGACACAACAGTTGGGTTTTTGATTGATTAAAATGTCCAGGGACTGCACAGTTCCAGCATATTGGTTGCCTGTGCTGTCTGATTATGCTTGAGTTGAATTAGTTGATCGCGATATATTTACCCACTCCATCGTGGTACGAGTTTCAGTTGTTGAAATATTTGTTGCGACCTGCTGATGACCAGGTGGTGTGGACAAAAATGCCGCCATCTTCAATAAGGACAGTGGAGCGCAGGTCGCCACACTTCAAGGTCACACGAAGAAAGTCACCAATGTCATTTACCATCCGGTTGAGGTGGGCAGTGATGTGGTGTAGTGTGGTCGATGAGGTTTGGTCGATGTGGTGTGGTCGATGTGGTGTGGTTGATGACTAAAGATAAAGATTTTTTTATGATGTTTCATTGTTTAAGATAATAATAGCAGTTAGGAATAATGTGTGTGCGCGCGTGTGTCACAATTAGCATCATAGTTGACAACCACCATTGCATTGCATTTCATATCACCATGTTATTTCTTCTTATCATCATCATCACTTCGTATTATCATCATATGAGGAACGCATGATCATTCCTTACGGTCAGCATCATCCTGTCATATGAACGACACCACCAACCACCTTCTCCCACACAGGATCTGGTCTTCACGGGTTCCCAGGATCAGACGATCAGGGTGTGGGGAGTACAGAGGAGCTCTCCATGTGCTCACGTGATCCGTCCCCACGACGGCCCTATTACGGGCCTCAGTCTGCACGCTACAGGCGACTACCTGCTCAGTTGTTCGTCTGATGGTGCGTGGGCATTCTCTGACATCAGGGTGGGCAGGGTGCTGGCCAAGGTTGTCGATCCAGCTTCCAACCAGAGTACGTTGAACTGTTCCGTCGAGATTAATTAGTTTTTTTTATTTTCAATAAGTTCGTTTAGTTGAAATGTTGCATCATGTGACGATTTTTCAAGTGAAAAAATTAAATTGTTCAAGTTTCACAAATTTATGATAGTTGACCAACAGTAACAAACAAATATGTATGGTGATAATGAGTTTACTATGAACGAAGTTACAATTTATAGACAATGTTATGAATTCATAAATATGGCAATATGAACCACAACCGACCAGCTGCACTGACATGTGCCAAGTTCCACCCCGATGGATTGATTCTGGGCACTGGATTGGAGGACTCCCTAGTCAAAATCTGGGACCTCAAAGAGAAGACCAACGTGGCCAGCTTCTCTGGTCACCAAGGACCAATCACTGCACTGGCCTTCTCAGAGAATGGTTGGTTGGTTGGTTGGTTGGTTGGTTGGTTGGTTGGTTGGTTGGTTGGTTGGTTGGTTGGTTGGTGAGGTGATGAATGCATTGATTGCTGGATCGGTAAAATGGTAGATTGATTGGTTAATTGATAGCTTAATTTTTCACTTGGGTTGACTAATATGTAATTGATTTGATTGCTAGGTGTTATTATTATTATTGAAACTTATTTTGGTCAACGATTTGATTGACTGGATGTTTGTTTTTTGAAATAATTTGTGGAATTACTTGATTGATTTTAATTGCACCAACCATGAACCAGGGTACTACCTGGCCACAGCAGCTGATGACGCTGTGGTGAAGCTGTGGGATCTGAGGAAGCTGAAGAACTTCAAGAACATTGCACTGGAGGATAAATATGAGGTTGTGTGGCTGGTTGTTTGATCGCATGATTGGTCAACATTTCACATTATAGATTGGATGGTATAGCGTTGATAAGTTGAGTTTATTGATGATTTGCTCTTCACTACTGAAGAAACAATAATTCTCAGAAAACGTGATTGGATTGTTGATGGGTTGAGCCTCCAATCAATGTTGTTTGAATCTCGTCTTCAATTCACACACCACTCAAACATGACGTTAACAACCTCAAACGTTAACGACCTCAAAAATATTTAACCGATTGTAAAGTTATAATGGTTAATGAATTTCATCGTTTATTCTAATTAATCTTTCAACCAGGTGAAGTCATTAAATTTTGACCAGAGTGGAACGTACCTGGCTGTGGCAGGGACCGATGTCAGGTTGGACCATGCTGTAATTTTGTCTTCGTGTCTATTGAATTTATTCACTCACTGAATGCTTGTAGGCATTCATTTGGACCAGTCTGGTGTGGTTCATTTTTTTTAATTTAGTTCTAGACACTCATTCCATCATTTACAGTGAGGATATTTTCATCATGTTGAAATGCATGTTTCTGTTAGGTTGTTAAGATCATTCTCACTTTATACAATGGCAAGTGGCTGCCTGGCCTCACTCTTATTCAATGGTTCATCAATGGAATGATGAGCATGGAATAAGGGCCACCATATAATTAGTGTAATAAAAATGAACATTTTACAATAACAGTGCTCTTAATAATAATAATTATTATTATTGTTATTATTATTATTATATGATTAATACCGAGCATGGAAATCACGACAGAGTCTACCTATGCAAGCAGTGGTTGGAACTGGTGGCGTTCAACAAGCACACAGCGATGGCCACTGGCGTCTGCTTCGGCAACAACGCTTCGTTCATCGCGTCCGTCAGTATGGACAGGACGCTCAAGTTGTACGGATTGGATTAAAAGTTGATGCGGTTCATGTAGACGTGGTTGACTGGATTATTGGTTGCTTTGACTGAATGATTGATTGTTCCGATTGAATGATTGGTTGTTGTGATTGAGTGATTGGTTGTTGTAACTGATTGAATGATTGGTCGTTGTGGCTGAATGATTGATTGTTGTGACTGATTGAATGATTGGTTGTTGTGACTGATTGAATGATTGGTTGTTGTGACTGAATGATTGAATAGTTGTGGCGGTCGAATGATTAAGATTTAAGTGGTTTTTTATTGTAAATGTTTTATTGAATGCCTTAACAGTGATTTCATTTACTTGTGTGAAGTCAACTTATTGATTGGTTCAAGTAGATAATGTAATAGGTGCGGTGGGTGCAGCATGTATGATTGATAACTCACACGTGTGATTGTTTCACATCGCTGTTCGTTCGGTTGAAAATTTATCTGTTCATCGATTGACTGATTTTTATTAACGAAACTTTTTCCATTTATATAATTTTTCTGGAATAAAATAAATCTACAAACTGAAAATCTGTTGAACGTGCGTAGAATTATAGATCAGTAAAAATGTGAATATTTTTGTACTCTCTTCTTATAGAAACACAATAGTCTCCCAACATTACTGACTATGATTTCTCATTTGATTTGATTTAAAATAATTTAAAAACAACTAAATAAAAATTTCATTAAATTTATTTTGTTTAATGAAGAAAACTGCCGGAAAATTTATTAGCGAAGTGAAAAATATTTAAAAAAAAGTATTGAAACAGTGAATAGCGACAGTTTGTTTCAAGTGTGCGATTGTCCTCATTTTTCTGATTTCTTGAGGGAGCTGCTGGGGCAAATGTGTCTGTTGAGGCACGACTGACATTTCGGCTTCACTGACGTGCAGATCTGCTGACCGAACCCAACAAGCAGGTGGTTGACCTCACCCCACAACTCTCTAACAGGAAAACAAAATTGTGGAACTATTAAGGATCGATAAACGTCGTTAAGGCATTTTATTAGAAAAACAGATTAATATAATGTATATGAACTAAAATTTTCAGGTTATTGAAAACCATTATAAATATTTCTACCACACCCAAAGAAATGATGTGGCCTGCAGATAGCAGAGCAGTTTTGTTTCTTGCTCATTTAGATGCAATTGAACTTTAGTCTTTTCAGTATTGAATCAGGCCATTTCAGCATTTTGTGAAAAATGACTGAGCTTTTACCAAATTAACCAGCTAACAATGGTTGATAATATAAAGCTGATACGAATAGTTGATAAAATTAATAGTTAGTAGCTCCTGGAAATAACTTGATAGAGGCGCCTTATAAATCTTCAATGCAATACAATCTTCAATGCAATACATTAGTATTTGGCAATGTCATTGCCGACAATATAAATATAGTTGAAAAGAGTTGCACACCACCTAGGAAGCCACTCCTCCAACTGCACTTGAGTCTTCTCGGGAGCCTTCGTGTTCACCCAACCTTCGTGTACAACATTGGAACTCATTATAAATCCACATAAATTATAAATTCGAAAGAAATCGTTAATCTAATGATAACTATGAAATGTGAACTGAGGATAGAATCCTTTTATACCTTTTTCAACATCACAAAACAACAACCCAACAATTTTTAAACAATCACAAATCAGCACCTAAGCGATTAGAGATTCGATGCACGTGAGTATCGGCAGCCACCCCGGTGACCACACCCCACGCGCACTGCATCGTCAGGTGCGCCATCTTGGGCCCTACTCCTTCAACGGGCGACAAATTTTATAGAAACGTTAGTGACTGTGCATTGGGTTCATGAAAATTAACTTGAAATAACTTGTCAGCTATTTATGTTCGTTATAATTTAAAACCTATTAAATAAAAAATCTGAAAAAGTTTTAATCATGTAGCACAATCAGAAATGATGCCAAGTGTGTGAGCATGTCATCAACCAACTAGCACTACAAAGACTTAAACATGTGGACTTGATGATGACTACATTAACATAATGATCAACCAGCAGTCACCAGGAAGTTTGCACAGACTTTCCACATCATCAGGAATGTCTCCATCCCAATCCTTCGCAAGAATCTCCGAAACTCTCTTTATATTTCTTACTTTCGTCTAAGAACAAATTTTGTGAAGTTAATAAGAAAAAAGATATTCACTTTATTAATCTTATGTAAGAGTTCAGCTCAATTATTTTCCATTGAAATAGCTAAGCCACTTAATTTTGAATCAATGTAAATCAAAAATGATATTGAAATTAATAACTTCATAAAGAAATTACACATAGGCATATACTGTAACATAATTACTTTATAAAATGATACAGGGTATATTAATTCTTCTAAAAGTTGAGAATCAGTGTTGATGACATTTTCAACTGTGCAGCCGTGTCCAATAAGTTTCTTCATAGCACCAGCTGTAATTTGGTCCTTTGTTTGGCTGGATAACATCAGGGCTAACAAGTTCTGGTATCTTTGAACCTTATTTTGATTTTCATGTTCAAGGAAAGAAAAATGTCTCAACATAAATTATGCTTTATGGCATAAAGCTTATGCAAAATATAATTCAACCGATTTTTAACACTTTTGTAATGATACAAAATATAAATATTAATTACAATCAACAACAAGTAGATAATAAATAATACTGAAAATAAAATGAAAATGTTTTTCTACTTTTGGTGGTGCATTATCATCAGAGAGTTTATCGCAACCAAGTGTGTCAACAGGGGCATCATTTGATTGTCTCATCATTCTAATGTTCTCCAAGTGAGTCAACCAACCAGCTGGTGCTGTTGTTGTCTTGACGGCATGATGATAACTGTTCTCTTTGCTGGGGTTTCCAGAAGTTGTGGTGGTTGTGTTGTTATCTTTAAAATACTTGGATCGTTGTTCCACATTGCTCTTATCCTTATTGACAACATTTGAATGCTGTGTTGCTTTTGCTCCAATTTCATCTTCAAGACCTTTCTTGGATTTCCTGCTACTTAGTTTTGATACTTTACCATCGTTTTTATTAATGTTAATAATGTCATTATTAACTTTACTAATATTTCTTAGAGATCTTTTCATTGCTGGCTTCTAAATAATGTAATTGAAAGCTTAGTGACATAAGTTTAGAATAAAAGTCAAGTAAGCTATATTTTTAATTATTATGATAGATATATAATATAATATATACTATATATATATTATATAGTATCTGTAAGTAAATATATTATATATTTTTTTTATTATATATATATTATATATAGTATATAATATACATATAAATATAATATAACAATTACATGCTAAATATACACTATCATAAAATATTATTAATAATTATGATATATATTCAGTTTAAAATTTAAATTAAATATTAAATTAAACTTTAGAAATAATTCTCAGATTAAATAAAAAAGAATAAGAAGAGTAAAATTAAAATTTCTATCCATCGTGCATGTATATTTATCTATTATTAATTAGTGTTAGTGTTGTTAGTCATTCATTACAAAACATACAAACATCGAAAACGAATGCCATCTTCCGATTAGTTTTTAATTAAACCATCAGCTATCCGGCAACAACCCGAAACCTGGACAGAGATGCTAAAAAAACGTATTATACACGAACGTATGTTAAAACGGCATATACCAAAATAAGAATGAAAACATTCAAGATTTCAGAGCTCTAAACTGTTAATTTTATGGAAGGAAGACAACGTTTGCGCCGTGCAACTGCCGGTTAAGTAGTGTTGCTGTTTAACCTTTAACAGGACTTTTTGTAGTGTCTGGTGTGCACACGGTTCAATTATTATTTTCCACTTCATTATAACAGAGAATGATATATGTGTGAACAAAATTTATCTAATGAAAGTTCTAACCAAATCGTTATACAAATATATTATACACAAATATGTTAAAGCAAACAATTATAATTAAACCAAAAGCATCACCAATATCGATAAAATATAGGAAAAAATTAAATGAAAAAAGAAACAAATGATTGCCATTTTTACTGTTGATACGTCAATATATCAACATCACAATAATTTACACTTATTCATGATGAATTATAATATAACATAATTTATATATTTAATATTTATTACTTATTCAGCTGATTGGTTACTGGTAATTATAATTCTGCCTATTAGCTAGCCAGTTGTTGTTGCTAAGTTGAGATCACCGCGGAAGTCTGCGAATTTTAAATTTCGTTTTTATTGATTTCGTCAAGATGTCACTTGCGGCAGCTCACGTCAACCTCATCAAGAACGAAATCGTCGAGAGAGGTTTGTTCGACGTCCTACCTGAATCAAAGCGCGAATCGTTCATCGAATATTTTTTAAAAGTAAGATTCCATTCATATTCATTAATAATAATTTTATTTATAATTTTTAAATTAAATTTAAATAATAAAGCCTCAGAATTTTCATTATAAATTGGTTTCCTTACGTAAGGATCTATCGTCTATCTATCAATCTATGGCATGCTAATATCAAAAATGTGAATCTGGCCACATATATCCAATCCAGTATCATGTATTAAATAAAATAAATCAATTGTATTTGTATTTAAAAATTATTCTATGTGAAGGTCGACAGCCAGATTATACAAGTTTTTTTGTTTGTTTGTAATCTAATTTTATTTTAGTCCATTTCATCAATTCATTACCATATTATTCACCAACTCATCTTAATCACTCATCCCAATTACATTGTGCTAGATGTTTTGCATCTATCACTGTAGTTCTATTTTGTAACTACAAACTTTATATTTGATTAATTTTAATATTTTAAGTGGAGCCGGCATACATTAATTATGTATTCATCTACTTGAATGTTTATTTATATATAAATTGTATAATTGTATTTTATACACTTATTATAGGAATATGAAGAGAGAATTACAAAGTCTCTATTTCAAGGTGGTTGAATCTTTCCAGATTGCTTGTATTAATGCTGGTGATGTAACAGCTATGAAACAATTGTTTGGTCTCTTAAATATAATGTACAATGGCATAATGATGATTCATTCTTCATTTTTTTGCATAAACGTTTTTTACATAAGACAACTCTTTAAATTAAACAATTAGAATGATGATTGAAGTTGCATCTTACTAATTACTAATTGAATGAATTAAATTGAACAAATGAAGAAAAAGATTTGGACAGCAAGAACTTCAAATCCATAAATGAGAACATAACATCAGTGGTCAGTTGTAGAAGGCAGGTTCCGATGGAGTGTGTCAGACGTTGGAGGGAGAGGTGTCTGTTGGAGGAGCAGCATATTGTTTGTCTTTGCCCACCCATTTTTATGATTTATAATTTTCCAATTTATTTTCATCATTTTTCGCTATAATTAATATTTTGGTGTAATTTACTTTTAACTCACGTTTGCAATCAATATTTGCATTAAACGTTATCACAACACCATTACAGCCTAACAACAAAATAATGTTGCTTACAACATCCAAACAACATTGCTAAAACGTAACACAGAACAACATCACAGCAGCAACATCACTAGAACATTACAACAACGTCACAACAGAATCACCTTGTAAAATCGAACTGCACACCTCAACCCAAAATCACTCTACCACCACCATCGATGAATGATGAAATTTCAAGTGACATTGCCTACTACATAACCGAGATGAACAAGCTTAAAAGAATGAATGAGGTTTAGTTGCAATCAAGCTTTTTGAATTGAGTTTTGAATTGAATTTAGAGTTTAGACGATACTGTTCTGTACCTTTGTTAGTATTGACTTCAGGTTATAATTTTTTATTCTCCACAACTGCAGAAAATTGGCAAGAAAATTGAGATGGTGAATGAAGTTACGAGACAACTGGCCTCCAAGGACCAGCACCACTTCATTCACAAAGTGATGATGGACAGCACATTGCATCAACATTTCTGATCCAACTACTTGATGAGAGTCATTGAATGAATAGGCCGATTGAACGTTTGATTGCAAAGCTTTTTTAACATTTTTAACTTCCAACCTTTTATTAGATTTTATGCTTCTTATGAAGTCATTTTAATGAAAAGTTTTAATAAGATTTTTAAACTGCCTAAGTTTTGTTTCGAATGTTGTACAATAAAAACTAGATTGTTCAAATTGATTCATAACTCTAAAACGAAAATGTTTAAACTTTTCATAAATTTTGTGGAGCGGTTTGTAATCATCCATTCAAATGTGACGCCATTCTTTATCGTTGGGTCAATATATTTCAGCAGTTAAAACCTTTTTTCAAAGAAGCTCCTTTGATCGGTTCGCTTTAGAAAGTATAGGAACCGAGTTTTGCTCGGCTCTTTATCTGATAATTTTATCTGGGAAGGAAATTAACATTGTCAAACCAATTAAAAGGCAGTGAAGTTGTACAACTGAGTTGAGTTTTTTCTTAGGTTATTTTATTTGGCTTGTTCGTTGCAACTGCACGCGGCAAACACGCAGTTCTTGATTTCCTTAGCAGATCATCCAACGAGTTTTTATTCAAACACTTTCATAATACTTCTTTCTTGATGCCAAAGGCCAAGCTTCTTATCATTTTTTTTTCCATTAGCCTTTATTATTGCAGCTCTGACATACGCAGAACCACTTACAATGTTACAGATATATTATTATTTATTTATTATGTTCTTCATATCTTCAACCAATGATATGAAGCAGCCATTTTTCGCCACAAAGGCTGTTTTATCCTTTTCACACGACGTACACATGTATTTTATGTGCACGCGCAAGCACCGCATCATATACGCCGAGTATATGATAGCCATTGAGATGTTTGACTCAGCGCGCATTTGAACCACTGAGCCACCTCGCCGGCCAACATGCGACAACTTACGCCGTCATTCGCATGTTATTAAAAAGAAAACAGCAAAACTTAAAACAAAAGCCTTTTTATTGTGATAATTGAAAATAAGTGTTATGCTATCTACGAAAGAACAAAACTAACTAGAGAGAAAGAAGACAATGATTTAAATCCACGTAGAAATTGAAATATCCTACTTGATCTGAATCATATATGATAGCATGTATATTTTCTCTCTCTATATATATATATGTGTGTATGTATGTAAATATTTAATTGTTTAAAAATAACACGGATTTTGTTTCATGTGTCTGTTTATATAGATTTTGAGTGACCAGGTGTCTGAGTGTCATCACTAAGTAAATTTGTTCGAAGTCGGTAGGACTCCAGTAGCGTATTGTTGAATATTCATTAATGGACGTCTTTGTTCGATAAGTAAATATTCTGCTTACCTTAGATTGTGTGGATTGTTGCTGCAGTGAATTATTTCTTTGTTATTATCAAAAGAAGCTTCTTGTGTTAGAATGTACATAAATAATTAAACGTAAATGCAAAAAATTAATAAAAATTTTGCTTATGAACTGAACAAACTTGATAATGAACTGAAATTCGTCGTACGAAAAATTGAAAAACTCAAATGCTGTGATATTTTTAAACAACTGCATACCAGATGATAGTCTCGATCCAATATATATGATGTGAACGATCACCTGGAAGCGTTAATTCTATATTTTACCGGTTTCCAATTAACCGGACCAAAACTGCGAAGACATCCATGCACTAAATGTGACGCATGCGTGACGTCATTGTTGTTCTTGCTTCCAGTAAATGATGAAAAGAATGCGACAGTGCAGTACCAGTTCGGAAACCATGTACAACAAATAACGAGTAAACGATGTTACCATAACAACCAATAATAATCACTGTAATAATTACTGCAATACCAAAATCAATACAAAGTAACTACCGGTGTACTGAGCAGCAATACAAATAGTAAGTAGTACTTATTGAGATGTTGATGTACTTGTTTCAACTGCTGTTAACCGTGCAACAGAGACAGACAGCGATTGACAACGAATCTATGTATATGCAGACGTATCAAGATTAAATAGTTATAACTCTAATGTCGCATACCACACACAAAACCAAAAAAAAAACAAAAAAACCCAAAACAACGAAACTGAAATATACACATGCAGATGCAGTAAAAAATTAATCAACTTGGTTAAAAATGGGATCAAATAACATCTTTTTGGATTGTTTTGTCCACGAATGTATATAAGTGACTGCAGAGGCTAATTAAAACGTAATTTTAAACAAGTTTAATAAAATGTCGAGTTTTAAACAATAACAATAATAATAATGTCATTTTATATAGCGCCATGGCAAGCGACTGAGGCGCATTATCATTATTACAACAAACACACGATGCATAAATACACGTGAATCAACGCATCACACACTTTTGCATGTGATAGGCGGGGATCTCTTTGCATTCGAACCCGGACACTGCATCAACAATGCCTGGCACCTTAGCCATTACACCATCGCGCCGCATAAATAAAATAAAAACTATTCATAATAATAAATTTTGATTAATTTTAAACAATAACAGTTACAAATCCTTTCAAAACCTATGTTAAATAACAATGACAAAATCACCCAATCATTTTTTTCAACCAATCACTCACTCACTCAATCCTCTCGACCACCATAGCCACCCCCATTCCACCACCCACACACAATCCCGCCACCCCCCTCCTCAAATTGTTCCTCTTCAAATTATGCAACAGCGTCACCAGTATTCTGGCTCCCGAGGCTCCAATTGGATGCCCGAGGGCAATGGCCCCCCCACATACGTTTACCTGATTGGGCGTTAACAGCAAAGTCAATACCACAATGACGACTACGATCACAATCAACCCGCCAAGAACAAAAATGACAACTTTTAAATGCAAGCAAGCAGTTTTTGAGTGAATTGATAAATGTAACGTTAATTAAAAAAAACTGTCTGATAAATAACAAATTATTCAAACAAATACACTTCTGCAACAATTAAACGTCACCACTAAAAAATGAATATATGAATACAAATACAAATAAACGAATAACTGCAAACATGAAAGAACAAACAAACAGCAGCTAACAAAAACTTCTGACCTTGCTGGGATGAATGTTGAGACTCCTGAGAACAGCGAGTGATTGAGATGCGAATGCTTCATTTATTTCAAACAGATCTACATCATCTAACATCAACCCTGCCTTACTAACCTACGTGAATTAATAAATCAAAAAATCACCATAGTTAATTAAATTAGGATTATTAATATTAAAATAAACAGAATTATTATTCGGTCACCAAAAATTTCGAAACTTCCCGCCGTGTTTGCAGATCGCAGCCATACGACTTTCAAAACCTCTACTATTTTCTTTAAAGATTGCTGTTGCCAAACCATTTTCATTATCCGGGTCCAAAATGTTTGGCAAACAAATATACTATCTTGCTTTAATGTAAATAAGTTTAAAAAAGGCTGAATGATTGTAGTTTAAACGCTTTAATGAGAATACTGACAAGTAAACATACCTTTCAAAAAAATTTATCAAAAATTTTGCTCCATATTTTTCATAATTTTAGAGTGTTATTTAATTGTTATATATTATAAATTTTGATGTATCTGGTAGAGAAAATTAAGAAGAGTATTTATACAATATATTTTTAAATAATATTATAATTTGAATTTTTAATAAAATTCACATAGTTTAATTTCTAGGTTTAATAAATTTTCGGTTGTCGTGTTAAAAGACTCTTTAATTGTTGAACCAAATGTTTAATTTCTGTGTGCTTCTATAAATTTTGTTACGGAAAAATTAAAAAAGTTTATGATAGTAAATATACAAAGACAAAATGTGTGAAGACAATTAAAATAATTCTCTGAGCATTCAATGTTCTCAGTGTGATAATAGTTCTCTTGAAGGTACCAACTACCAAGTTAAGGATTGGAGAAAGAAACTTTTCTGTTTGTGGTCCCACTGTGTGGAACAGTGTGCCATCTTATTTGAGAAATCTTGATTTAAATTTACTTTCGTTTAAAAAATTACTGAAGTCTTATCTTTTCACATTATAGAAATTTATTATCTTTTTTGGTTTTGTTATATTTTTTTGACTTTTGTGCAATATGCATATCATTTCGGTTTCGATGTTTGATTCTCTTTTCAATGTGGTTGGTTGATGTTATTTATTTATTTTGGAGAATGTTTCTAATTGGTTCTATTATTTAGTGAATGATTATTAGTATGAATAGCTTATTTAAAGGTGTAGCTATTGGAATTGAAAATTATTCATCAGGTTCGATTATTGTTGATAATTTTTGTTTCTGTGGATTCATTGATTTATCGCGGTTATTTTGTGATAGTGAATTTAATATAAAGGTGATAGCGCCTTAGAAATATTGATTTGATTGGCGCAATAATAATAATAATAATAATAATAATAATGTGCTGTTAAAATAAAGTGATGTTAAAAGTAGTAATCAAAAAGTCTGGATTATGAGAGAAAGAATACACTTAAAAAATCTGCAAAGTGATCAATGGCAGGATTTCACCACAGACGAATTTGCTAATATTCTTAAAAAATTAAGCAATTGAAAAGCAGCAGGACATGATAAAGTTACAAATTTCTGGATAAAACAACTAACATCATCTCTACATCAACATTTGAGGTTTTCAATCAATGAAGCAATGAGAAATCCTATAAAAATACCGAAATGGATGACCACAGTTTAATACCAAAGAATGAAAAGACAACTGATCCAAAAAATTATAGATCTATAACTTGCCTACCAACGATGCATAAAGTACTTACAGCTCTCATTGCAGAAAGGATTTATTCACATCTTCAACAAAACAGTGTATTGCCAGATGAACAAAAAGGGTTTAAGAAAGGTAGCATGGAATGTAAAGAGCAACTAATGGTGAATCAAATGATTATGAAAAATGCAAAGAAACTTAAAAAAGATGTACATGTTGCATGGATAGATTATAAAAAAGCTTTTGACAGTATACCACATGATTGAATAAAACTAACGCTGATGTTGTATGGAATAAATGACACTATTACACAATGTCTAGAAAGTATTATGCCAAATTGGAATACAATCATAATGTTAAACGCTAAACAACAAACAATAAAGACTGATGAACAAAAGACATCCTCCATTCTCCATAACAACGTCACCAAAACCGCTTCTAAATTGTAATTTTGCTGCTCAACGGATGGCCAACACCGAAAATAGACAAATCAGAAGAATGTCTGCCCAGGTCAATCAGACGGACCCTTGCTCAAATCCGTTCTGGCCATAGCATTCTTCTAAACAGTTTCCGAGCAAAAATAGACAGTGAATTCAGGACTTCATCTATGAATGGGTTTTCAACAACATGTAAAAAACAAAACAACATCTCATAATGGATCAGCACTAAAACAAAACATAAACGTCTTCAAGTACACCCTAATCTTTTCTTTCAACAACAACAGACTCAACAACAAATCTACTCAGCAGGATCTTCAAACATTCTGCACAACAACAAACTTGAAAGCGAGACCAACCATAGTCTCCAACAAATAGCATATTGGTTCGAACTCAATAAAAATTAACATTAAAAAAAGTAAATTCATAACCTTTGAACAAACTAATTTGAATAACAAATTCAAGTTAGCTATAAGTGATTTGTATTTGGAAAAAGTTATAAGTATCAAATTACTTGGAGTGATTATCGA